CACTTAACTTTTCTGCCTTGGTTTCACCATCTGTGAAATGGAGGTGGTAATTTTTAAGCTTTTCACAAGGATGTTGTGAGGATTAATAAGTTATAGTTTGTAAATGCTAGACAGTAATTTATGCCTCTAAATATTGCTCATAAACTGTCAATACATTTTGAGTGGAATCCATCAGCTACTGTAGCTCTCATATTCTGTACACGTATGGTCCCATCACTGTAGTAGTATCTGAGCACTTCACAATCTTTAACATATTTATCCTCTCTACACCATTGTGAAGTAGGGAAGTGCCATTACTTCTATTGCTCAGATGGAAAACAAAGAACACAAGGATAGATGTTTTTAAAACAGGTACTGAGGCATCGCTTGTTCAATGCTGGAACAACATCCCATGATCAAAGAATCCAAAGCCCTCTCTCCAACACCATCTGTGCAACCACACATTTACCTCCACAATTCAATGCTCCCTAACATGGCCTTTTCCTTCAACAGGGAGGATGGATAAAGATGTTATTTTAGTGCCCGGATCCACCATTTAGATGCCATTGACATTTTCAAAGCTGCTCCTTTATCTACTACGTAACCACAGAGGTACCTAAAACACCAGGCACTTAAAATGTTCACCAGTCCACATTTGCAAAAGTCACCTAAGCCCTGATAGCACCCCACAGGTAACAACTTGCCCATGTCTTTCACTCAAGCCAAACCCATGAAGGTCACGAAGGTCAGGGAATGTGTATATGGCCAGTATGGAGAAATCTCCGTAGTTATGTGCTCTGACTATGATGAAGTCTTGATGTCTGTCAGGCCCTGCTGCAAGATGGTTGGATGCAGGCTATTGATGGAGGGGGGCAGCACAGCACCCACACAAAAGAAAGACAGCTAAGGACAAAGAGAAATATAAGGCAAAGCAGGAGAGAGAGATATTGACTATGCAGGAAGGAGGGACCGTTTATTTGCCAGGGTGTGAGCTAACTATAGTGGCTGACCTGGCTTTGGTGCCCTTACTGCATGAGAGGATTTAAAGCAGCACATCCTGAGTGTAGGCAAGCACCTATCTCTGGCCTGTAAGCTTGGTGTACTAGGTCAGCCACTTAGATGTCTATGCCCTTCTCCTCTGCATTTTGCTCTCGTCCCTGATAACTTTGGCAGCTTCCCAGGATCCTTTACATAGGAATCTAGGACTGGGTCCTCTTAGGCACCTAAATCCCACATTTAGGTATTACAGGTTGTACCTCCAAAAACCGGCACTCTCTGGTCCAGCAACATCCCTCGTCTGGCAGGACCAGAGATGCTCCTGGACCAGAGAGCCCAGGAACCTAAGGGCAGGATGGACAGCCAGGCCAGGACAACAGCATCAGCAGCCCAGTTGAGGGCAGCATGGGACTGGGGCTGGAGCCTTCTGGCAGCCTTCAGCAACCCGCAGCAGCATGGGGCAAGGCTTGAGTTCCCCAGCACCCAAGATTGGTGTAGGCCATGGCAGCCCCTGGGAGCATGGAGCATGGAGCTGGAGTTGAGCCCTGCAGCAGCCCAGGGCTGGAGAGCTGCAGCAGTCCGCTAGAGCCCGGGGATGGGGCAGAGCCCTGCAGCAGCCCCTTGGAGCACAAAGCCAGGGCCAGAGTCCCACAGCTGCCCCCAGATGCGCAGGGTCAAATCCACATGGCAGGAGTTCTGGGCAGCTCCTTGTGCTGTCCAGAGAGCTGGCAGCATCTGGGCAAGCAGCCCAGTCAGGTTGTGGGAGGGAGGGCAAGACAGGATGCCTGCTAGAGCAGCCTGCCAGCGGCAGGTGATGGGGCTTGGAGCTGGTGGCAGGCGACCGTCCCTTGTCTGGTAAACTCTCTCATTTGGGATAAGCCAGGTCCCAGTGGTGCTGGACCAAGGAGATCCAACCTGTACTAACATTCTCAAAAGCACTGCTCTGCAGCCAGCTAACCATGTAGGCCCAAGTCCCAAAGGTGCCACTGTTTCCACCTGTTGTTGAGAGCAAAATTAAATCTTGATGCTACCTCACAGCTAATAAACTGCTCTGAACCCTTTCTTACTCTGTAGCCCTAAGGAATTCTCAGACTAGGCATTTCTTCACCTCGCTCCTCAGTGAGGCCCAATCTGGTAGGCTCTTAGAGCACAGTTACTAGATTATCATTTGTGTGAAAGACAGTCATGAGTGAGAGGGCGGGAATTTTTGATGCCCAAGTGGGTGTTCATACATCCCCTTGAGTACACCATAACCCAGTAGGTAAGGTACTCTCCTGAGAGTCTCTGCTCTGAGCCAGGCAGAGAAAGGATTTTAATGGAGGTCTCCTATATCCCAGCTGAGTGCCCTAACCACTTGGCTGATGGCTACAATGAGGTGGGTTCACTTCTCTGTCTCTTTTCTCTTGAGAAAGTCTGACCTGGCCTGTGCACAAAACTGCAGGAGAGTCACAGCTGAGAATCTCAAGCAGAGATGGGTATCTTCCTCCAGACTATCAGTCCAGTGCCTACAGGCCCTGCTCAATAGAATTCAGAGCCCAATCTCCTTTGTGAATCTAGGCCCTAAACCCTGTGTTGTGGTCCTAAGCTTCCTGTACAATGCATAGGGAAGAAATTAGTGCTCAGAACTGGGATTCATAGAACCCCTCAACTAAAGGAGGAGCTGCCAGGAGTGAAATGTGGCA